TTATCCTATACATGCTTTTATACTGGTCCTGTGTTCCTCTATTAGAATGTAACCACCACTAGGACAAGCCTTCTACCTTTTTTTGTTGTTCCATCATGTCCAACTCTCTATTACCCTATTTTGGGGTTTTCTTGCAAAAATACTGAAATGGTTTGCCATTTCCTTCTCCAGCTCATTTTACAGATGAGGAAACCGAGGCAAACAGGGTTAAGTGACTTGGCCAGGATTACTAAGCTAGTGTCTGAGGCCAGATTTGAACTCATGAAGATGAGTCTTCCTGATTCCACGCCCATTGCTCTATCTACTGTTCCACCTAGCTGCCCCTTCTACCTTTTTAATATATTGTTTTTAGTACTGCATAGTGTGTTGAACATAGAAGCCATTCATTAAATTGTATTGACTAGCTTCTTTGACTCCCAGTTGGACTCCCAGTGGATTTTCTTTTTCAACACTCCCCTCCTTCCCCATAAAACTTCCTATTATTCTGTTTGTTGTGCTAGAGCACAGAACCTGGCACTAACAAACGCTAAATAAGTGCTGATTGCCTTGCCTTGCCTTCCCTTGTTTGCCCCCTCAGCTGTCAGAGAACATACCAATAGCTCTTCTCTTAACACGTGTAGGTTCCCTATTAATGCTATTCTTCACTATAAATCATGGATTTATTTCTGCCTACCTCCTCTATGATTATTTGTAGTTACCTAACAGGGAGCTCTGACTGCTGTGTACCTCAGTCCTGTTCATTATTTTCCCCTTTCAGGGTTAAAGCACACTTGATCGAGTAAATGAGCATTTGGCCAATGGGATACAAGCATTTTCTCCTTAATCCTCTTGAATTGGATTGTTATGTTGCATAACTTTTCTTTCCTTGTTTCATTCATTCAACAAGCAATTACTGAATACATGTTATGTTTCAGGCTCCATACTAGGCCCTGGGGATACAGAGACAAAAATGAGATTGTCACTGACGTCATGAACCTACATTCTGTTTGGGAAAACAATATGTACACAGAAAATGAAATACAAAATAGTTTGCTAGTAGTTTTAATACCAGTTCAGGCTTTCATTGCCTCTCAACAAGAGAGGTGTAAGAAAGGCTTGTAACAGCCTTCTAAATGGTCTGTCTTGTCTCTCCCCACTCCAATCCGTCCTCCACACAATGGCAAAGTGATTATTTGCCTTGAGGTTTGCAAAGTATTTTACAAATATTATCTTATTCAATCTTCACAACAACCTGTATTACTACCATTTTACAGATGAAACTGAGAATAAGAGGTTAAGTGACTTGCTCAGAGCTACATGGCTAGTAAATGTTTGATTAAGGATTTGCATTCTGGTCTTCCTGACTCCAAATCTAACACTATCCACTGCACCACTGAGCTGTTAAGTGCCTTTCTCTCTATGGTTTTCTTGGAATCAAATATACCTATCTGTGTATGTGTTATTTCTGTATGTATGTGTTGTCTCTGAAGAACTTTGGTATTGATTGTGTCATATGGGAGATACTGGCAAGGGACCACCCAGCATGGTGTGCCCACATGAAAAATGGCTCTGTGTTCTATGAGCAAAGCAGAAATTTCAGCAGCTCAAAAGAATTGTGAGATACGCAAATTTGGAGGTACCTCCATCCCAAACGTTCATATGAACTATTCGTGCCCAACCTGTGGTAGAGCCTTCTGAGCTCATATTGGTCTGACCAGCCACTGTGGAACTCACTGTAACTTGATTCTAACATAGTGATGTCATTTTGATTCTCTTTGAGAAAAAGGACAACCAACCAATTTCCCCAGGTAGAATGTAAGCTTTCCAAGAGCAAGGGCTGTTTCCATTTTGTTTTAAAATCTCTAGCACTTGGTACAATGGTGCTTATTATGTAGGATCCCCAAGGCTCATTGATTGATGCAAAATAATTTCCATTGGGAGACCAGTAATTGGGGTTGGGGGTGGCGGTGGTAGTTATTGAGATGAATTCCTGCAGGAGTTAGCACTTGAGCTGAGATTGGAAGGTTCCTAGAGATACTCTGAAGCAAGGATGAGGAAAGAGAGAATTTCAGGCATGGGGAAAAGCTGATGCAAAGCCAGGAGGTGAGAGAAGTACAGGGAACATCGAGTAGGTCAGTTTGACTGGAAGGTAGAGTGCTTAAAAGAGACTAATTTGCTTTAAAGTTTCAAGAGGAAAGATGAGGAAGAATCCATTGGGAGGAAGGAGAAGGAAGCCACTAGACAAAGAAAAGGATTGGCTACTATTGTACAAAAGGAATTAAAAAAAAACAAACAATGCAAACTAAAGCAGTGGGGGCAGGGCAGGGGAGGGCAGTGGGACCAGACCTGTGATTTCACAGGTATAGGAAACTCCTGGCAAAGAAGGATCCTTTGTCAAAGGAGGCCAGATAGCACCTGCTCTTCTCAATGTCTAAAAATGCTAAGGACTGTGGCTACAAAGCAATATTCCAGGCTACTTAACAGCTACAAAGGTATGCCATATGCCAACTGCACCTGATTTGTATCTGAAGTGCATACAACTGATTCCCTTTTAAGCCTACAGCCTTCCTCACTTCTGTGCCAGACTGTTAGGAACTGCCTGTTTCCTGCCTTCTCTATATAGAAGCTAGAAGGATGCTGGGACATGGAGTTTAGCTTGAGCTTGCTTAACATACTGCCTAGTCATTCTTAGTGATGTTAATGATGTTTCTAGCTCGCTTACATATGCTATACCTGCAGGCTCAAATTGTGGGCACTTCCATAATGGCCTATAAAATGTGCTTGGTTGCACAGTTGATTTTTATCATGTTAATAAACAAAGAGATGCCTGGAAATAGCTGGTATTTCACTTCAGAGCACCTGAAACTGGGAAGTTTCTGGGAATTCGGGTGACTTCCCAAAGCATCTCCTTTTATTTTTTTTTTCTTCAATTTAACAGAAACCCTCAACAAGGGAGCTCATCAGAATTACTGTGGGAAAAGGATATTGGATGTTTTAAATCAGTGGAATAAGAAATCCATAAATTTTCTTCCCAAGTATTTTAATTGGGGAGGTTGAGTGGGGGTGTTTGGAAAGTCACTAAGAAATGTCTCTTGGTTTGCTTAAGCTGACAAGCATGTATAAATACATACATACTTTCATGCATACATATGTATATTGTAATGACCCCAGTAGCCTCCTCCACTCAGTAAAAGCCCCTGGGATACTCAAAATCTCCTGACAGGAAAGCTGAATCATCCTGCTAGAGTAAGACCAACATTAGCTGTGGAAAGCCCCTTTCCCTCTCATTAGGAAGTTTAAATATCAGCTAGCCCCCATATTCTTCAGGAGTCTTTCCAGCAACATGAATCAGCACCAGTCTCCAGGGCCAGATTCCTTGCTCCCTTCTTCCCTCAATGCCTGGCCCTACTAGACCCAGATAAAAGCCCTATAAAAACAAACAAACAAACAAACCAAAACCCACCCACACTTTATCGGTTTAGGAAGATTCCATCTGAGATCCCAGAGAACTGCCCTGTATCCATCCTGCCTGATGGCCCCTTCATTTTGCAAGCAGCTCCTCTCAATTAAACTGGCTTGCTTTCCAATTTTGGCAGGAACCCCATGTTTTCTTCTACTGGGTTTTTGGTACAAAGATTTGGTACAAGGGTTTGTACTAAGACATACTTGTGTATGTCAAATGTGCAAGAAGGTGCTATGGGTGCTATTTAAAAAGCTCTAGCTAGGCTAGAGTACTTGTTTTCCCCTCACTACAAGTCTTTAGCTTTGAAGTTAACTATAAATGAGAGTCAGCTCTTCGTCCTATTCCCAGTCTAAAAGTAGCGATTTTAAGTGCAATGCTCAGCACCTTTTAACTGAGTGCTGATACCTGATGCTTCCCCAAAGCAATAATGCTGCCCTAGAAAAAGATAAAGGGATCGTAGAATTGAGAGTTGGAAGGGCCCTTGGCAATGCTTTTCTATGGCTTCCTCCTTGTACACAGGGAGTGAGTTGGCAGCGTGGGTATAGTGGAACGTTCGACCTCAGAAAGTCTTCTAATCCCTCAATTCCAGTTCTTCCACTCGCTACCTTCATGACCTTGGATGAGGGAGTGAATGGGGAAATTTGCCTTCCTTTCCTTGTTAAGTTTAAGTTCATGCAGACTCTTAAAAAATAAAAAAAAGCCTCCCCAAAGGCCTCAGTTTCCTCGTCTGTAAATTGAGTTGAACAGCAGTATCCTTAAGGTCCCTTTCAGCTTTAACTTAAATGATCTAAGGAAACTTAGGCCTAGAAGAGTTAAATGATTAGTCCAAGGTCATAGCTAAAGAAAAAACCCAGCCGGAATTCAAATCCAGTTCTCTTCATTCCACATACAACGCCGGTCTCACAAATCTCTTAGAGCTTCTCCCTCCCCCACCCCCTCACCCTTCCCTCCTACCTCCCCCGACCCCCCGAATCCCATCTTAGAGTTGTATTTTAAGCCAACAAAGGCATGACTTGTAAATTGGGGAAAGCTGCTGTTCCTTCCCTCCTCCCTCCTCTTTTCTCCCACAGTCATCTTTCTCCTTCCTTCTTTTAAAATGGAAATTAAAAATTGCGTGCATGGCAGTTCACTCAAATCTTGGCTGCTGTGACACTTTTAAGGGGCTGCAGGCACTTAGCTAAAAAATCTTAAGAGTATATTTTCTGTGCATTTCCCTCCTCCTCCGCCCCTTTTGCCCATCCCCACCCCCCACTACCTTCACCCCGCCAAAAAAAAAAAAAAAAAAAAAATACAGCGGACGCTGGATTCTCTTTCCTCTCAAATGTGCCAGCTCTGAGATCCCGCCTGATTTAAACCCTGACGAGGCAGTGAGAAAGAACAGCACTTCTGCTGCACACTGCACAGAAGTAGGGAGAAGCTGAGAGAGGGAAGGGGAGGCCCCCAAATGAGGGAACGCCTGGAATGATGGGGGCAGCCAACTGGGAGGCACTGTGGGTGAGCCGTGGGCGGAGCCGGCGGAGCCGAGGCTGAGCCGCGCGGGCTGTCAGACTCTCCCAGGACCGTGCGCGCTGCAGGTGGGCACTAAGAGGTGCCGCTGCTACCGCCGCCGCAGCTGCTGCGGAAGCCCCTGGTCTCCTGGGTCCCTCCCGGAGCCTTCCGCAAGTCCATCCTAGCTGAACACTCGGAGATCAAGACCGGGAAAGTACAAAAAGAGAAAGAGATCTGTTTCCTCAGGACCTGTGAGCAGAACTACCTATCTACCCTGCGCTACTTTTTCCATTGAGGAAGGTTGAATTTAGTGGGAGGAAGCAGTCTCCAGGAGGCGACGGAGGAAGAAGGAGCCTTCTTAACTCAGGTGAGGCATTTCTGCACCCCATGCTGACCTCCTGGTTCCTAGTTCTAACCCAGAGCTGGCTAGGCTGGAGGGACCCCCGCTCCCACGCCTGTCCTTGGCTTGAGGTCAATGGGGGAAAGGGTGATTGACCAGGGCTAGAGGCGCCGAGTCTGGCTGCCACTTAACCAGCTCCAGGGAGCAGAATGCTCGGGACTCCTGGGCGTCCATGTGGAGGAAATGGACAGAAATAGAGGTGCTGTTTAAGGTGGCCGGGAGATTTTTTTTTTAAGGTGGACGGGCTCCTCGCTTTGCACGCCTTTAAAGACAGCCGCAGCATGTAGCCCAGCATGGCTGGCTCCTCCATGGCCAAGAGGATGTGCGCCCGTGAGCAGCCAAAGTGTAGAAATATTTAATATCCCTAAAGGAGGAGCCCTTGAAGGTGCTGTCTTTTGGCTCTTGGCACTCGGCAACTTCTCTTCCTCCCGGTGTTTCCCATCCTCCCTTCCGGCTGCGTCTGTGTTGTGTTTTGTTTTTAATTTACATTATGCCATGTTGATTTGCAAACACTTAAAGTGGCTTAGCTTGCTAGCTCTCTCTTCTCTCCCTTATCCTTTCCCTTTCTGCAGTTTCAGCGCCTCCCCATAGAGTTCAGCGGGGCTCTGGGGAGTCAGCTCTCATGCAGCCGGCATGTAGTTTATATTTTAGAGGAAAGGTACCATACTTCTCGGCCGCCTGGAGCTGTGCCGCAGCGAGGGGTGCGATGGAAATGCAGGCGAGCGCCCCTTGTAGCCTAAACTGGATGTCAATGGAACCGAATCTCAGATTCCAGACCTTGTTGGGCTGGGAGCTCGGCACGGTTGGGGTGGAATTATGGCGCGTTGGCGGGGGGGGGGGGCGGCTTACTACGTTTTAAAATTTTTTTAACCTTGGTTTGAGATATAGGAAGAGGCGGGATTCTAGTCCTAGATCTGAACCTTTTTTCACCCTTAACCATTCAGTCCTTGCTTAAAGATAGTACTAGTCATCCACCCTGAGCACCCAAGCTCAGGGTATGTGGAGAGTTGCGCTCCCATGTGTGCGTGTGCGTGTGTGCGCGTGCGAGTGTGTGTGCGTGCGAGTATGTGTGCGTGCGAGTGTGTGTGTGTTTTCTTGGGTAAATGAAGGCACAACGAGCCCATTCGTTCTGTCTGCTGAGATCTCTAGGACTCTGCCACTCATCGTAGCGTGTGGCCATCATCTTGTCATTCCTAGAAGCTCCAATCCTGAGTCTCCTCTTACCTTTTTTTTTCCTCTTCTATATTCCTTAAGCAAAAGCATTATTCTGGTTAAAAATAAATTGGCGGGGGGTGGGGAAAGGGAGTGGTGGAGGAGAACCAAGGAATTTTTTTTTTAAATATAAGATCTTATTCTTAAAGATAAGGTTTAACTGCCTCATAGTTAGCGTTGAAATGGCCAGTGATGAAGGTTAATGAAATACATCTCTCTGCCCCCCCCCCAACGAACAGCAATATACATTTAAAAAGCCCAAAGGGGGCTGGGGAGGGGGGGCGCGGTTCCTTTCCCAGAATGAAGATCTTTCCCTGCTTTGGGACTTGCTTTTTACGGAAGATGAACCTAGTGGTTGCCCTGCAGCTAAGGGACTGGGGTAGTCATGTTGCCTAAGTTAATGGATTCCTTGATGGACTATGCTGCTGAGCCATGCCTATTCCCTGGCCTGGGCACTTAACCTTCAGCAGTTCCAACAGAAATGAGTAGGCAGAGGGAAGCAGTAGTAAAAACGAAACCCTCAAGGGTGCACGAGGCTAGTCTAGTTGCTTTCACCCATTATCATCCCTAAGTCCGAGCTAGAAATTCTGCATGTGCCGATTAATAAGGAAAGATTTTGAGTTTTGTTTAAAGTTAATGAGTGGATCTGCAAATCTATGGGCTGGGGAGGGGGTGGGGAGAGAGGACTGATTGGTTGTATGAGCCAAAGCCCTTAGTAGCTGCAGTCGCAGCCACCGCAGCAGCAGCAATCAGCAACCAGCATTCCCTTCTGAAATTCCCCTAGCTCAGAGAACAGCATCACCAACCTCATCTTTTAATTTTGGAGAACTGGAAAAGCTTTTTGTCAGCTTGCCAGGCTGCTTTCAGGCTGGTGACCGCTCTGCAGCGGCTGGTGGTGATAGGGAGGTGATTTTGGAGTGGACATTCCAAGCAGCTAAGAAATGAACCTGGAGGATTTACTGGATTAGGTTGGAGGGTGAGAAGCTGTGATCTGTAACGAACACCGATAGTTTCCGTGTAAAATGGCAAAGCTCAATAGTCTTCAAGATGTGATCCTTCTACGCTTCCAGGCTTTCTATTTGTCACTTTCTTTTTATGAAACCAGGTGTTGGAGTAATGGATTAACATTGAGAAGGGCTGGTTGACAGCCCACATGTAATACATTTTGAAGTGCATTGGATTAGGAACCAACCAAACCTTATTGCAGCCAGAGGAGGATGGAATCTACATAAAGAATACAAGTGGAAACAGCTCTAATTCCAAATCAAATTTTACTTTATATCTAAATTCTGTTTGATCAAAAGCAAGCAGTCTGGGAGAATAGTTAATGAATGGGGGGAGGAGTGATGATTATTAAATTTTCCTTTATAGGCATTGTAAGAATTCCTATCCAGCCTCTTAATACCCAAATCTGGAATTTCACTGGGGGTGAGAGTGGGGAGGAGAGAAGGCTTGGGGATCCTATATTTCATAATGCACACAAATGGAACTCAGAAAAGTTCAGGCTTGAATTGATGTACTGACCATACTCCCCCCTCTTCAATCTGGATCTAATATATATGTTTTTTAGACTCAGAGTAAAACCAAGTGCAGAAGTTCCTCTAATATAACTTTGGTTTCTACGCAACATACTTCAGATGGGTCTCTTAGAATATGTAGTACTTGGGAAAAATTTTTTTTCATTCTGATTGATGTGATTCTTTCAATGGGAAAAGAAATGTCTACTCCTTAATACCTGGGGTTGAGAATGTTTGATAATGCCTATGGGAAAAGATTATTAAAGAAATAATATTAAACCAACAATTAACAGTCCTTTTCAATTCCAATAGTGCACAGATACTTATTACTGACTTATTGCTACATAAGTTAAAATTTTGAAGTTAGTAAGAAATTTCAATTGGGAGGCACTTAATGTGTCCTAGAATGTTAGAGTTGGAAGACATTTTAAGAGATCATCCAGGCCAACTTTCCAAGGGAAATAAAATGACTTCTTTAATTTTTTTTTTTTTATTGGTGAGGCAATTGGGGTTAAGTGACTTGCTCAGGGTCACACAGCTAGCAAGTGTCAAGTGTTTGGTCTGAGGCTGGATTTAAACTCAGGTCCTCCTGACTTCAGGGCCAGTGCTCTATCCACTGTACCACCTAGCTGCCCCTAAAATGACTTCTTAAAAGTTGGATACTAAAAGCATAGGAAATATGTCTTAGACTCAGGTTTTCAGATTTCAAAACTCAGTATTTTCCTTCTACACCTCCACCCCAGGATACCATCTTCTATGAGGGTGGGATTGGGATTTGGACAATACAGGTAATTTCATGAATATAGTTGTGCTTTCTCCGAAAGTGAAAGGGAGGAGCAGTGAAAAGTCAAACTATAGTAAAATAATGTGGTATTTAAAGGTGGTTAGGAGTGAGTAGTGGGGTAAAAGAGTCAAGGAGGTAGGTGTCTAGCTCTAACTGAATTACAGTCATAGAATTCAATCACTGGGTTCCCTGATCTGGAAGAACAATAATAATAATAATCATAATCTACAATGGTGCTAATGTGAGAAATAATGCTTACACAATTATCTGATTTTAAAAAGAAAGTGATACACACATGTATACACGTCCACACATACATCACAAAGAACCCTTATCGGACAAAAAAATAGTTAACAGAATAGAAGAAAATAGGTTAGTGAGAAAATGGTTTTCCAATGGAGAGCTTATAAAGAGGCTAGAAATGGAAAAAGTATTGAACTGAAGTCTTGGCAGTAAAGATGGAGAATTATGGGTAGATCTCAAAAACAGAGTGAAATGATTTGTTATTGTGTGATGAAGTAGGAAAGCAGGGCAAGATAGAAATCAGAGATGATCAACACATTTCAAGGGTGAGAATATAGACTTTCTTTGGTTTTGATGATAGTAAATAGAAGGTAAAAACATTTATCTGAGAGTAGTTAGCTCATGTTGACATGTCCATGATGTCTTTAGAGCAGGGCATAAATGGTGAACCTGACTTGTATGTTGTAAAACTAGTATCATGTAATCCAAAGGTAATTTGAAGGACAGTATCCTGATGGAGTTTCTGAAAATGTAAAATAAATTTGATGTAAAGGGACAATAGTTTGGAAGTCTCATAATGAAAGGAGCAGTTAACTAGGTTAAAGGCTGTAGGTGAGTGGATTGTAGATTTCATTAAATTGGCTTTAACACAGTAAGCATTGGTATGTGGGGGGTGGGAATTTCAGCCTGGTGAAAGGCATAGAAGTCAGTTAGACAAAATAAATTCATAAGGGTAGTACTTATCTTGGGAATGTTGAGATAAAGGAAGAGATCATTTAAAATCTTCTGAAATTAGTAGTAGTGATGATAAATAGACAACTCCTAAATCTATGCCTCCAGTCCTCACCCTTCTTTTGAGTCTGAGTCCTGCATTTCTAACTGTTGGCTACATATCATCATTTGCACACCTCATATCTACCTCATGCTCACCATGTCTAAATCCAAATTCATCTTCCCCAAGACCCCAGATGAGATCTTTCATATTTCCCCATTTCTGTTGTTGATGCTACCATTCTCCCAGTTATTCAGGTTTGAAATGTCAGTCATCTCAAATTCTACACATTCATGCATCTGTCTCTTCCATTCCCAGTTTAGGGTATTATTACTTCAGATCAGGACTACAGTAGTCACTTTCTAAACTGTTGAATTTTTCCTGATTCGTCTCTCCTAATTCATCCAATCCTTCATTTGGCTACCAGATTAAGTTTTTT